CTGCCCCTGAAATCCCATAAAAAGTCCCCTTTGCCCTCGGTAGGCGCGCAAGTCTTCTGAGAGACTTGGCCCCAGGTACCTGTGCATTTAATAAAGCCTCTTGCTGTTTGCATCTGATCTGTGGTTTCGGTGTGTTTCCCGGGTCCGGGGTCTCTCCCTGAGGGAAGATCTCCCCTGGGGGTCTTTCACTTTCCCATATGAGAAGATCCAGCCAGCATTTAGAATTCTCCAGAGGAGAAGTTGAGTACTTCACCCAACTTAGAATTGTTAACTTGGCCAACAAACATCATATTGGATAGCCATTCTTAGAAAACGAATGAGATGAGGTGAAACTGAGGAATCCCTCCCTGGAATATACTTCCACTTTAAAATAAACAAAAGCGACACAGAGAGGCTGTTGAAAGGATCTGTCCATTTTCCCATTAAAGGGAATGGGACAGGGAAGGTGTAAGCAAGGCCTTTTTCAACCTTTCAGGTCCACAACTTTCCATAAGCATTATTTGGTTCTCAATTCAAGATCTAAAATCCGTCTAAGAGTGATGGCCTCTAATGTTGCTACCTGAGGAAGAACAGAAGAACAAGGGGTGGTGGGCTCAGGGGAGGCCACTGAGGTAGCCTGAGGGCCTGAGCAAGACCCTATTGTTCTTTTTCTGTGGGGGAAAGCCCAGAGAACTCTGGTAAGTTCAGGAAGTCCGAGCTTCAGGGTTCTTCTGAGAACAGACCATATCCTAGTTCCAGGGGGACCCCCATCCCCTACTGACTGTCAACTCTCACCCACTTTAAATGCATCAAGTCCATTGCCAACCCAATACTATCAAATAAAGCACAGTACTTGTCTGTTGACCATTACCAGGAGAGAGAAAGAAAAAAAAGAAGCAAATAAACAAATAAATCAGAAATAGTGGGTTTTGTTTGTCCGTTTAATCACCCCCTCTTCCCAGCCCCCAACCCTTTGTGTGTGGATCCTTTTACACCACCCACAGACAGAGCATACCAGAAGAACGATAATTTTTGGTTTAAAAGTTCACTTACCACAGCAACCTCATATTGCTTTGTCATTTTTTTTTTTTTTTTTTTTGCACTTAATTTTTCAAAACTGCTTTTGCTGGGCGCAGAACTGGAAAGGCAGGACTAAGGTAATCTCTAGTAATCACAACAACAACAAAAAAAGAGAGCATTCACCAATCAGAATTACATTTAAATGCACAATCAAAGCCCTGAGCAAGATGCAGGGTTCAGACCACACCAGGGGGGAGGAGGGGGTGGGAAAGCCAAGCTAACAAAAGGTAAGAGGAAGAGTTGAGTGTTTGGAGGGGAAATTGATCCTAGCCGCCTTTTGACCGAGGACTGGCTTTAAACCGCCAGCACCACCCCCGCCCCCAGCACCCCCGAGATTACCCGAGCGACCGCACTTGCCTCCAGCCAGTTCAAGTGCACAACAGGAAAGCCCCATCTAAGTTCACTAACCCTGCCACGGTCTTCCAAAGCCTGGCGGGTTCCTTCAGGAAAACACTTCCAGAGTCATCCATCCACTTGAGGTTTAGGCTTAGCGGCTGCTGAAGCCCCGGCTGCTTCGAGCAGCTGCTAGGATCCTTGCAGTCCTGCTCCTGTCTCGATCGCGCTGCACAATAGCCCCGGCTGGGTGCACCTCATTAAGCCAGCCTGAGAGCCCCAGGAACAGCGCAAGCTGTGAGACAGCGCGGCCCCTTTGTAATGACTGTGATAGATGCAACCGAAGGGTGGGGTCTGGGTGGGTCAAAACTGTTAATGACAGTATGTATCATTCTGTCTGTCCTGGAGATAGAAGCCCCTGTTCTCTCTCTCTCTCTCTCTCTCTCTCTCTCTCTCTCTCTCTCTCTC